GAAACAGATTCCTACAAGCGCCTTTTCGGTATGTGAGGGGTGAGAGGAGAAGTAATGAGCCACCTTGTTTTTACTGCTTGGCTTTCTGTTTCATTTTGTAATAGAGCCGTTTTCGGATAGGTTAATTTGGACGTTGAGAAATGGAAGCCACGTCTCTTTCGGTTACTCTCGGGTGAATGTTTTGTACTTTGACTGTCCGTTCAATAAGTTAAAGCACTTGTCTTTCTTCTCTTGTGTGGAGCAGACGAAAAAGCAAGCATCTATGTGTCCGCAGCAGAGTAATGGCTGGAGATCGATTAATGGTGATTCCACCTTAGACATACAGGCATTGGCAAAGGTGGGTTCCAAGCGCTATCCCATTGTCAGCGCTTTAATTTGCGGGCAATGCTTTCCGGACCATTTGTAGATCGAGCGGTTGACGGGCATGGAGAAGGGCTATCCGAGTTCGTATAAAAGAACACACAGTCTGTAAATTTAATTGAATCCAAACATTCCACTAGGCTGCATAAAATTTAGTTGGATAAAAGAGATTTCGAAGCAAAAGCCACTATCCCCGCACAGGTATCGCTTTCGTTCTAGATTACTTCCAAAATCCAAAAATCACACATAGAGGAATGTCTTGTGATTACGTGTAGACTAACTCCATACTTCAGGCTGTTTCTATAGCCTGACCCTGGCGTATTGTTCGCCTATGTAATATACTCTATTAGAATTGTTTTTCTACCAGAAAGCTGAAATACTTTCAAAGAATAAAACGTTGGGTGTTGAACAGAAGCTGTTCATAATGTGAATAAAAATTTATGTGAAATCTTCTGCCTGCTATGGTTATGAAAGTTTGGTTGAGTAGATTGCACGTCTATTTGGCCTTTCCGTGTTCTGAAGAAGACGAAACAACCGAAATGCTAGTTGTTGTGTGCTAATAAATGCTTCAATAGCAACAACGTGTGACTTACTGAAAAAAAAAACAGTGAAACACAGGTGTATCACTGCTACTAAAGTCAGTTCTCGTTGCTTTTCAAAGTTTATAACAGGACAGAAGATTTTATTAAAGTGAAGAGAGACCACATATTTCATTATAGGCACGTTTTGTCACACACAAAATTTTCGTAGGGTTCTGGAGCAGCTCATTTCCACAGCATCTTAAGTGACATGTTCTTCTCCGTATCCTTTTGCATCACCTATGAATGTATTAATTAACCACCAAGAGTGTCGCGTTTAACAAAAAAACCACGAAAATATTATCTATTCAAAAAAGAGGTTGGGGAAAACAAAAACGATAATAAAAGCAAGTTTAAACATGAAACGGACAAAGTGGAATCGAATTTGACGTTAGGAAACGGGATCGCGCTGATGGCGCAAGCGTCTAAGTTACCAAACGCAAGGCACCCAAATTACTCAAAAATAACCCATTCTGAGTAGCATTCAATGCAGCATGTCTAACATCGTTAGGAATACGGCGACCTTTAAATCTTCGTGCTAGGAAAAATAGGAAAGAGTGAACTGACACCCAACAACACCTTATCTAATGCGCTTAATCTAAGGTTACGGTGAACTATGTCAGACAAATTGAAGTAGCGCGCGCAAATAGCCGTAAGCTCTGGTTTTACATACAAATTTTCTCACATTAGAATTTTATTAGAAGGGAACGCATTAAACTGTCTAATTATGGAGTGAAGTGGATAACGAACCTTTCCTACTGCCATCTCAAAATCTTCCTGGGTAACATGTGCACGCCGCTCACGAAGAGCAAACATTCCAGCCTCTGTGCATACTGCCTGAAATTCACTACCTGGCCATGTACACATCTACATACTGTGATCCTTCAACCAGATGTAAGTTTTCATAGCAATCAGTTGTTTTCCGTGACATGTCTTCCATATAAAATCGCACTCGTCACCCCCCGAATGGTCGATACATACTCGCATTCATGTCTGAGGAATGTTTATTCAAAAATAACCGAATATGCCGGCGAAATCCTGTGATGAGCACCCAAGAACACTCTAACACGGCTACCAAAAGAATCGGATAAAAAGTATGCTCCACTTTTTAAGATGTCGTTTAAGCGAGCAAATTGGAGAATCTTAAATCACAGCCGAGCCCATATACGAATCCGATCATAATCGCGGTTGATGGTTTTTAAGAGCACTAAACGAATGAAGAAAATCTTAAGGCTTGCATGACATGTGAAGAACAATCGTCTGTGTATCTATTATGTATTCATTCTATAATTCATAACTCGTTTGAATTAATAAAATTTTTTGCTACTAACTCGGATACTTGGATACTTGGATGGCACATCCTCACTGGTTGCGCGGGCCTCAGCACAGTCTTCATTTTTTCGGAGAGATTTGCTGGTTTAGCCGTTGTGGTTCTCTGGTATCCCGAGATCAGCTTGGTAAAAATCTGCCCCAGGTCGTCACCACCACACGCAGTCGCAGCATTTTTGGATCAGAGGTAGATTTGCCAACATGCGACTAATTTGATACAAGGACGGTGGTGGATCCTGGTATTGGTTTACTCTTAGCTAAACTTTTTGATGGAAACGTCGGACTTCTTCTTAGCTTGGGAGAGTGCTCTAGGATGTATCCCCTCCGTAGATCGCAGCCGGACACCTAAGAACGCCTCTCAACCATGATAAGGCGGAAAACCGCTTGGAGGAATTTTTCTACAGATTCGGCATTTCGCTATCGAAAAAAAACGTCCAAACAGTTGCAAGATTAACATCGTCACTTACCTTAATCTCAGCACCGTTTGCTCCAGGTATCGCCTCTGCCACCTTCTTCATATTGATTCCTCTGATCAGATTCATTTTGCGGGAGTGGATTTTCAAAATTTCTCTACGAGTCTTTTCGTCAGGTGCGGGAAATTCGATCTCAAATGTATTTTTAACTTGTTTCTTCACAAAAGAAAACTAATACTGTTTCTCTGAGATAAGTTAAGGAACAAAGAGCACGTAGACAACCACACCTTTCTGTCAATTCTACCAGGACGAAGCAGTGCAGGGTCAAGGATGTCAATTCTGTTAGTAGCCATGATTACCTAAATCGTACACTTAACAGCATGATAGGATGTAAAAGCTTTAAATTAACCTTTATGTTTTTCGTTGCTTCAAAACTATCGAGTTGATTCAGTAATTCCAGCATCGTTCGTTGTACTTCCAAGTCTCCACCACTGGAAAACATGAAAAGTGTTATGAGAATTGAATCTAACCATTCAAGCAAAATAGAATTTCGCCAATTATGCGGTAGTATGAAGCCAAACTTATGCAAAAAACGTTGACGAGACGGGTCGACTTCGCATTTCTGTAATCGAGGGAAAGAACTTCCTGCTGCGATAGCTTTGAAATATATTTGTTTATACGACCTTATAAACTGATCTTCTTAAGGTAATAAGAGGTTGGTATACGTCTTCATTGTCGTTGTCGTTGTTGGTATCGTTGCTGTTGGTGTTACTGGTCGATGGCTGAGGTTTCGGCGATTTCGCGTTCCTCAGAGCCGTAGGGGTCCCATTCGCAACAACACGGCTCTGAGGAAGGCGAAATCGCAGAAACGTCAACCATCGACCAACAACACGAACAGCAACGACAACAACAACGATAACGAAGACCTATACTAACCTTGCATCGGCTCAAAAAGATCAGTTTATAAGATCATATGAATAAATATATCTACTATATAAGCCGAGGTTCGTAGAAAATCGGTCTTCTGAGCTATCAAGAGATGTTCCAACTTTGAAATATGTATAAATACCTTACGAGTGAAATGTGGAAGTTCTGAATGAACTCAATTTGACGTTATACCATCTTTTCTCTCTGATAATTTTATGTGAAGATATAGCTTCATTATGTATAGTGTAATATATGTACATAATATGGGAGCGTGTGACGTAATGGCCGGAGTCGCCCTGCAGCACACACGCGGAATGGAACCCGCCACCCATGGACCACCAAGCCTTTCATTCCTCAGTTCGGCAAATTGTTACCAGACTTGTCTGGAAGGATAGCAGCGCTGTCTCGATACATCGATAGGCCACCGCGAGTCATTGTAAAGCACAGAAATGCATTCAATCCCCTCCAAGCGATGCTTAATGAAATCGCATGCGTGGCGCATCCCTCAGGTATTGATCAACGCCAAGAGCCTTATCCTTTATTCTTTTTATGTGCATAACATTTTTGAAGGGTTTGACTATGTCCTATGGACGCAGGAAAAGACAGGTTGTCGTAGAATACATGGGAAAATCACCATCTTCATATATTGATATAAACGGTGGTTACAAGCGAATAAAAGTATAGAAAACGTGGTCAGGTAACTCCAGTTTTGTTTTACTGCTTTGTAAAATAGAAGCTAAAATGAGCGGCAAGTGTGATTAACACCACAACCATCTCACTTCAAATCTAGCAAAAAGGTTAAGAAGAAAAGATGAAAAGCTGTTATTACCTAGATCCTTCTACTCTGTTCGATCCAATAGAATCAATTTCGTCCATGAAAATGATTGAGGGAGCGTGCTGTTTGGCCATGACGAAAAATTTGCGAACCTGTAAGATATTTTTTGCCAATAGTTGTGTTGTTGCAGAGGCATCTAGCTTACCATTCTCGCTCCTTCTCCAATAAATTTTTGAACGAGCTCAGAGCCAGATACACGGATAAAGGTGCACTCAGTATGGTGTGCTACTGCTCTGGCAAGCAAAGTTTTGCCAGTTCCAGGTGGGCCGTATAATAAAACACCTTTCGGTTGGGCGATGCCGAGGGCTTCGAACAACTCAGGATGCTTCACAAAAAGTTCAATCACCTAGAAAGGCAACAGATCCTATAAGTCGACAGTTGAACCTTATACAACTCTTCAATCGTGCCTCTTTAATCTCTTTAATTTGCTTATCGAGACCACCTATCATTTCATACGCAGTGTCTGGCACCTTCTCAATCATCATCAGTGAGACAAGAGGAGCAACCCAACAGGGCAAAACACTGTCAGAAATAGCCTTTCAAATAAAACATTCATAAAATATTGCAAAAAAAATGTGTTTTTGCAGAATAGCGATTCGCGAAAAACACCGAAGTTTTGCCAATTACAAAACCAAAATTATTGTACTCTGACGCCCAGACGAAGCAGTCGTAGCGTCCAGAAAGGCAAAGCAGAAAATCAATTCCGACTTTGGCACAGATATAAATCATGCCACCGGTTCCGAATTCCCGAATGCGGTATACTATTTCGTCGCTGAAAATCGAACGGTACATGGTCCGGAGAGGACAAGATTTGAACACTTGAAGAACCTTCACCCCGTCCCCTTAAATACACCGGCTCGGCTCTTCGCACGGTATCTTTCTGAGAGCGAGGTACCTATTCAGTGGAAGACAAGCAACACAGTGCTATTGTTCAAAAAGTGTGACCTTCACGATATCGTGTGCTACCGCCCAATCTGCTTGTAGTCTGTCGTTTACAAACTTTTCAGTCGAGTCATTCTAAACAGGGTTGACAGAACGCTGAATGAAAGAAAGTTATGTGAGTAAGCAAGGTTTTGAAGAGAATTCAGTACGGTGGATCGCATCCACACGATAACAAAACTCATTGAAGTTTCGCCAGGGTATAGATGGGCTCTCTGTCTCAGTTTCATCAATTTAGGGAGGGTTTTTGACTTAGGTGAGGTAGAAGCAGTCATAGAAGTCTTGGACATTCAGGTAGTCCCTACTCAGTACATAAAGATTGTTTGTAAGCTGAGTAAAAATTTCATAACCGAGATATCAGTCTTCTAAAACGATATTAACGTCGACGTCAAAATAAGGCCTAGACAAGGCGATACGATCTCGCTAAAACTGTTTACCGGCACCCTCGAAAACGTCATGCGAACATTGGAATCAAACAAGGTGAGAGTGAAAAATGATGGTCGGCAATTATACCATCTTCTCTTTGCTGCTGACGTCGTTCGTATAACGCCAAATATTAGCCAGGTGGAACGAATTGTTGCCGATTTTGATGAAGCCCGTTTAAAAATTGGTCTCAGGCTATATCTCCGAAAACGTTGTTCATGAGAAAGGGATTGGTTTCATATGCCCCATTCACGCTCGAAGGTACGAATATCTTCGATGGCTCAGTTATGAGTTCCCAGGATCGACTTTCTCTTAACCTCGGCATTGGAATATGGATGCGTCGTTTTCTTGTTCAGCAATCGCGAGGTTTTTAAACAGCATACATTTACTTCCATAAAAACACAATACAATACAACGCTAGCTGACGTTTCGGCAGTATCGCCTTCTTCAGAGCCGATTTTTCGTGACTTCCAATGAGGAAGTTTAGAACAGCTGATTATAGTCGCATGTGGTTGACGACTTTAGTTAGTTAGACGTTAGTTAGACGACCTCAGTTATGAGTATCTAGGTCAGAAAATTAACGTAATCAAATAGTTAGCTCCAGAGTTGGGCAGAATGAAACGAGCGGCTTTGGAAGCTTTCAAGACCATCGCGGATGTACTCAAGATACCAAAGAGCACCTGACTCCATGCCTAGCTTTTCGACTCCATGACACTTCCTCCCTTAATGTATGCGTCAAAAACGTCGTCGGCGCCTAAGCACGATGAAAGATCACTGACAGTTGCTGAATGCAAAGTCGAAAGGACGATGATAGGAGAATCCTGTATCGCACAAGAAAGGGTAGTAATCTGATGCTCCAACTTTCGTCAACGTTCAAAAATCAAATACGCCGTTCTATACGCCAAACAGTCGAAAATAAGGTGAGCCGGACACGTAATGCGCGTGAATGGCAACTGATGGAAAAGAGCCATTAGGCACTGGATTTCTCAGGGTGTCAAACGCATTGCAGTAAAACCACCGAACCTATGGTCAGCGTTGTTCACGGAAAGCCTAGAAGAAAGATATAATGCTTGACGACACCCTAGAGTGAGCAGAGCGCACTGGAATACTCACACTGCACGCGACAGGGAGAAATAGAAGATTTACTGGCGCCTGCTCGACTCACCCGACCATTGGCGTGGCGATAAGTGGTACAAGGGAGGTGACGAAACTACACACCTTTACTAAAACCTTCTTCTTGTCCAAGACTTTGCTCGCTTCTGCAACATAGCCTTCCTGTTCATTGAGTTGCTGCAACTCTTCCCTGAGCATGCGAACCTACAAAAATTATCAACAGTAGAAATTCTTGCAATATAACTGATCCTTTAACATGCTACAAAAGTAGAACTTTTTAACAAACCCTAGAATTGAGCTCGTCTCGTTGTGCTTGTAGGCGCAGAACATTTTGCCTCTTCTCCATAACCTTCTGCTGAAATCAAATATGAAACATATCTTTACTTTAAAATCATTTACCCACTTACTCATTAAAATAGTTCTTATACAATAAGAAAGGGACAGCGAGAATATTATTTCTTAAGTAGGCACTTCTATATCAACCTCGAATAAAATTATTGTACTGAAGAAACTCACACCTTTAATACATTTTAATAAAATTACAAGAAAACACTGATTGAAAACGGGTTTTAACAAATAACGACTGTCCAAATTTAACGTGAGTACTGAAGGTGTTCATCCGGTTAGAACACGTCAACGGAGGCATGTTAAGCTTGCGCGGCAAGGCCAACCTATTAGCCGTGTCCCAAAGAAGTGCTGCGAGACAGAACTAAACTTCATATACTTATAAAAAAACACTTAACTAATAAACAATAAACTAGGTAATCCTAGGAAGGGGTAAAAACGCTCACCTGAGCCTCATCGATTTTAGCTTTGAAGTACTTCCTCAGAGAATGTTCATCTGCATTTGCTTGGGATGGTGAACTAATCGTCGTGACAGCGCTACCACTAGGAGCAGACATAGACTGAAAATATTGTACGTATAAGAACTAATAAAAAAAAAACAATTTGTGATCAATGGCCAATCTTCATCAACAACAACAGTCTTGTAGAAAAGAGCGCTGAAGGATGAAGTTGCCTCATTCAAGTGGCGCTTCAGTGGAAAAGATTCGATTAATCAAGAGGACGAAGGACTGAAGGTCGACAATTTGGACCATTAGCTCTGAGGAAGGGGAAGGTGTCTATCTTTTAGCTCGATAATGTCTTTAACAACCACGTGGTAGCTTATCAATGAAATAAGAAGATTGCTCCAGGAGGCATTTCCAGTAAGGAATCACAGTGGATGGAAGTAGATCAATAATTATTCTGTATGAAAAAGCTCTGCGAAGTAAGGTTACTTCATTTGAGCGGTGCTCTTCTCTATTGAAATCGACCCAGTATTGCTAAGAAAAACTCACTTCGCAAGAATAAAAAAGGGCTACAACCGATTTAAATTATTGCGGCTCTGAAAAGAGCGAACAGAGGAAAACGTTGGGTCAAAAAATTTTGTAAAAAGTTGTTATAAGCCGAAAATTAACAAATGCTTGCCTACATGATAACAGTCCTCTTCTTTCACACCGATAGAATTCTGATTTTCTAGAGCGCATCGCCCATATTTCATCCATAGTAGTCCAATGCTTGAATTTCAAACAAAACAAGATAACAAGCGGAATTTTGTCCAATATGACACCATAGTGCTTCCCTACTGACGTATTATGTCTGTAGCCGCCGCTCTTCCATTGGAAATTTGAAAAACTTAGTTATCTTCAAATATTCCAATAAAGAAGAAATTTTTCTTAGCAGTAGAAAAAGGCCTATCTTCACCTCATCTTTAAACGGCGGGCATTTTTTTTTCATTCCTAGTTTCGTCTCTGATTTCGGTTTTGACATAGTCTCCGAATCAACTACTAGGAAGACCGCGAGAAGCATTCGTTGCCAAAAAGATACTTTCTTCGAATCCACATTGTGTTAAAAATTTGAGTAGGCCTCTGCAAGGTTAAGTCAGGACTCCAGGAAAAGTCAAATCAAACGGCACAACCAGCAAAAGGCCAGCCTCGGCACTCGGCACACCGGTGCTCCCGTACATGAAGTCAAGCTGCAAGGCAACCGTTAAGAGGCCTACGCAAAATCTTATTGGGTTACGCAGGACGTCACTGGAACCGAATCTGATGAACAGACCAAGGATAAGCCATGGAGATTGTTTCTTACCCAACATGTATTATACCGGAACACTTTCCTCAGTCGCCGATCTTCACGTCTTTCTTGAAGCCGCAAACTGCATAAAATTTCAATAAAATCTTATGTTATCGTACTGCAAGAAACAAAAATCAGAAACATCGACACACGCCAACTAAACCACGAAGCCCTTGCTATTCGTAGAGGAAGGGTCCCGTCACGAAATGACGGCGGCGTAGGTTTTGTCGTACACCCGTCCATCGTCGATTTCGCCGATTTGTACGATCTCCTCTTGCATGGCTGTTCTCCGTCCTCAACTGACGCCTCATAAAAATACTATTATCATCAATTGCTACTCACCAACCGATGCGGCTGATGAGTTCTGATGAGTTGGATACGTTGTACTATCAGTTGGAGGAAGTTATCTGCAATGATAAAGCGTATTATAAATTTGTTGTCGGAGATTTCAACACCGGAATAGAAAAGGCCAGCGAGAGCGAGGACAGGATCGAAAATTTTCTATTTCTTTTTCCACAACTTCTCATTTTCGATTCGTTTCTTCCTATCCATTATCTACTAAGGTGTTTCAACTTTTACGCTTGGTTTCGGCTATTGCTTGAGGATCTTCCTTTTATCTTGAAGGTCGTGGAATACTAGTGGAGTCCATTCACCTTGGTGTCCTGAGATAGCCGGGCTAGAGCATTCCCATTTGGATTGCAGAGAATGGCTTTCACCCAACCAAGACTGGTACATATCTCCCGACCCCAGCGAGGAAGAGACGCATGGTGTGCTCGGAGGGGAATCGGGCTAGCATCATGCTCGTGATGACCGACATCACTGCCGCTGTGCTGTCCGACCCAATTTTGGATTATGAGAAAAAAATGGGAACGGAAATCGTATCCTAGGACTCCCGTTCTCACGAAGTCTCCTCGATGGAAACTCGCCTATCCGGAAGAAAGTAAGCTGCGGCTGGATATAGGAGTTTCCCAACGGCAAGACTCACACAGAGATTGTCCATATCCCAACAAATCGAAGATGGTGCCCACTTGACATAGTCCCGTCATTTTGTGCTGCTTCCGATCAATAACTTTTTTACGCGAAGATTCCACTTAGACGTGAGCTGGAAAAGACTTTCTGTCATCGACCACGAGAATAAACTCTAGCTGTATATGACGAGAACATTTTGAGCGAAATCCTATCCAAACGGAACCAGCAGGCTAAGGAAAACTTGACCGAGAGCAGCAAGCTACTTGTCAAGGGGCCCAAAAAATGTGCCGAATTCGCTTCAGTTTCCCAAGCAAGAGGATCAGATAGCATCTTTATTACCAAAATGGAGTAGCTCGAAAAACAAAGTAACTGAAGCCGGATCTGCTAGGACACGTCTGATGAAAAAGGCCACGCACAAAACAGCTTTGAGAGAGATCTATATCTGCAAAGGCAAAAGCAACTACTGGAAGCAGCAGAGAAAAGGAACAGTCCGTAAAAATGTCTTCGGGAAATGTGTGATTATAATGTTTCGCTCTCAGTGCTGATAAACGGAGATCAGATCATCGAAACTTTTCGCCTGGTCCTTAATATCCCCGATAGAGAAAGCCACCTGGAATTCTTCTATTGCAGGTTCCAGTTGCTAGAAAAAGCATGAAAAAAGTATAGCTCCAAGACTCGATGATATGACGGCCGACATCCTTAGAGCTAGAAGCCACAATTTACATGTAGTTTTCGCAAACCAAATGGCAGGCTACTTTCAGAAAAAAATCTTAGACAAGTGGGCAACGTCGAGCTCGATCATCCTACCCAATAAAGGTGACTGAAGGTGTTTTCTTAACTACTGTCCGATGTGGTTGCTTAGTGTACACACAAGCTCTTCACGGAGATGATCTTGCCACGCATTTCAAGGACATTGACTTAGGCACAACCAGTGGTGCAAGCAGGACTTCGGCAAGGATTTTGCTGCATGGACTACACCCAAACTGTGTCTAGGGTCGTTGAAGTTTGCTGAAAACATCACCTGCCCCGAATCTAAACGATTGTCTTCGATATGAAAAAGCGTTTGTCAGTGTCGAAGAAACTGCAATCCTCGTCAACCAAGGAGTGGGCCCATCCTGCATAAGAAATCCCTCTGACTTTTACCGGAACTACACTACGAAAATACAGCTTTTCCATCAACCTCTTACCCTACCAAAAAAAAATTGGTTGGACAAGGCAACACAATGCCGCCAAAGCTGTTTACTACCGCACTGCAATAGATAATGAAGCCACTCGATTGGAATCAGAAAGGCATACGTACTGTCGAAATACTCCTATCAAACCTTCGTTTCGCCGACGGTATCGTCATTTTTCGAAGAGGTACCAGTGAAGCGGAGACGATGATCAACGAGCTAAACGAAGAGAAAAAAAAAAATAAATCAAAAAAAGACCCAGTTCATGAAAAACCCATAGTGGGAAATATGGGAAAGTTTGACCACTGCTCGTACGACAGCGTCTGCGAAGTAAAATTCACAAATTTAATGTAATCTCATGGTCATCATTTATTTGGAAACGATAGTGTTGCGCAGTGATAAGAGGTGCCTTGAAATACACGTGGGCTCGACCCCGCTCCTTAGGCCCACAAAGCCCCCCATACCTTCGGAATCGTCAAATTGGTGCCGGGGTCTGGAAAGGTAGCAGTACTGGCTCAATACATAGGTAGGACACTACTAGTCATTGTATAGGCCAGAATGTGTAGGCGCATCCCTTAGGAAATGATCAACGTCGAGCGCTTCGTCATTTCTATCCATTGATTTGGCGAAGCATCTCAATATTTTAGTTGACGGATTCACATTACCAACTGTTCATCTAACCATTTTGTCTTGGAATATAATAATATGAGAACTATTCCCAAGACCGACTATCTTTTAACCTCGACATTAATCTACAATTCACAGTTTTTTCTTGATGAGCGAAACAAGAGTTTGTTATTGTAGCATTTATGAGAATACAACTGCTAACGTTTTGTGATTGCTCTAGACTGCCAGGTAGCTCTGTTTCTCTCAATCCTTGCAGCAAAATTGGGTGAATTCTGCATTCCATCAACGAGCACTACACATATCATGTTGGTTTTCGAAATCACAGAGCTGTTCTTGGACATCGAAATTTGTGGACATTAACTCATTCGGTACAGATGAGTCATTAAAAGACTCTTTTGCTCATGCCGTTCAACAACGTCTACAATTAAACAATAGACGAGGAACGTCGTACACATGAGGTTTGAGC